GCTGCAGCATGGTGGCCACGACCATGCAGAGGTTTATCAGGACAGGTTCCACTCAGAACAGGCCTTTCCATGGTCGACCAAAGAAGTTGAGTGCCAGTGCTCAGCGTCATATCCAGAGGTTGTGTTTGTGAAATAGACGTATGAGTGCTGCCAGCATTGCTGCAGAGGTTTTAGGGGTGGGGGGTTAGCCTGTCAGTGCTCAGACCATACGCTGCACACTGCACCAATTGGTCTGCATGGCTGTCATCCCAGAAGGAAGCCTCTTCTAAAGATGATACACAATAAAGCCCGCAAGCAGTTTACTGAAGAAAAGCAGACTAAGCACATGGATTACTGGAACCATGTCTTGTGGTCTGATGAGACCAAGATAAACTTATTTGGTTCAGATGGAGTCAAGCGTGTGTGGCGGCAACCTGGTGAGGAGTACAAAGACAAGTGTGTCTTGCCTACACTCAAGCATGGTGGTGGGAGTGTCATGGTCTGGGGCTGCATGAGTGCTGCCGGCACTGGGGAGCTACGGTTCATTGAGGGAACTATGAATGCCAACATGTACTGTGACATACTGAAGCAGAGCATGATCCCCTCCCTTCAGAGACTAGGCCGCAGGGCAGTATTCCAACATGATAACGACCCCAAACAAACCTCCAAGATGACCACTGCCTCGCTAAAGAAGCTGGGTAAAGGTGATGGACTGGCCAAGCATGTCTCTAGACCTAAACCCTATTGAGCAACTGTGGGGCATCCTCAAACGGAAGGTGGAGGAGCGCAAGGTCTCTAACATCCACCAGCTTCGTGATGTCGTCATGGAGGAGTGCAAGAGAACTCCAGTGGCAACCTGTGAAGCTCTGGTGAACTCCATGCCCAAGAGGGTTAAGGCAGTGCTGGAAACTAATGGTGGCCACACAAAATATTGACATTTTGGGCCCAATTTAGACATTTTCACTTAGGAGTGTACTCATTTTTGTTGCCAGCGGTTTAGACATTAATGGCTGTGTGTTGATTGTTATACAATCTGTACACTCACTACTTTACATTGTAGCAAAGTGTCATTTCTTCAGTGTTGTCACATGAAAAGATATATAATAAAATATTTACTTCTGTGAGCTACTGTATATACACACACAAATTTCCTTCTGTGTCACTGTGGAGTTCATGGGATCCTTGGCCCAGGGTATACATAGGGTCTACAATGTAGCCTACGGTGAGATTGACCTCCACCCCTTCCTATGTCATTCAACTGTCAAATCCTAAGGCCTCGTTCACACAATATGCACAGAAAAACTGATGAAAAAAACATGCAGCTTTCACTTGCAGAGACTTCAGTTTGCATTAGTTTTCAATGAATTTTATACACATTGCAGATTCCTGCGCAGAAAAAAATCCACACTTGATACCAGTGTTATGATGTGAACAAGGCACAGAGCGCATAGAGAACAATTGTTTTCTTTGTGCCATTGCAGAACACATGCTGAAAAACTCTCTGTACATGGTGTGAACAAGGCCTAAAACCTCAGTGGGCTGTAGAGGTATTTGACAGTTGAATGACTAAAGACATAGTGCTTAAATTTAGGCTGGCTATAGATGGATCAAATTCAGCCACTTCAGCAGGGATCGGCTGAATTTCAATACATGTATGGCAGTTCCTGCTTTTTTTAAGTCGACCTAACAGCAGCCACTGATCAACACATTGTGACAGCAGAGAGTGCCTGCTGTCAGAATGGAATGTCTCAGCAGGGAGGATTCATCTACCCAACTCAATTGTTTGGATGGAGAGATCTGTTTGTTTTTTTTTTTTTGTTAAGCCTGCTGGCTGATCCATCTGTGGCCAGCCTTAGGCAGAAGTAGAAGCTGCATTTTCAGCCTGGTTCTTAGATCCAAGAGGACTCCACAGGGACAAGAGAATCAGTTTGGAGACCATCACTGTTATTTGCAGACAACACAAGACACTTAAGCAATATTGTTCAGTAGAAATGTTCACACATGGTTCATTTTGCTATAAGGATCAGTAAAACCAAAGACCCATTCACATATGTTGAAGCGTATTTCCTTTCCTTCTTTTTTTTTTCCACTTGCAATGTGCCTTTTAGCTTGCTAGAATATTTGGCTACTCTAGGAAGAGTCAGTTCTTTAGCAAATACCCCTCCGTCCTTGCACTTCATAACCCTCTCCTCTGCTGGGAGTGTCTAGTTACTCCCTATGCTGGCCTAGCCCTTCTGCTCCTCACTCCCCTTACATAACCTTTTATGTAGGTGTCGGGGGAGGACTGAAGGGAACTATTCTAGAGTGTCATTTGAGTGACTGCTTTGAGTATGCTGGGACTGCTGACATCACATACATGATGGTGGCGCCCAGTAGCAGTCTTGGGGTTGTTGAATGCCTACCCAAAGGAAGTTATAACAGTTAAATAATATGACTAAAATAAGTTAAATGCACATATCATTTTATGAGGTTTGTTGTTAAAATGAATGCTCTAATGACAGGGTCCTCTTAACCACTTGCCAGCCAGTATACTTATATAAAAATCCTGGACAAGTGGTTATACCAGGATCATGCAAAAGCTGCAGCCATAATTCTGGTATCAAAACTTTCAGCCGGCAATGACCTTTCATGTAAAAGCGATCCAAGTGGCTCTACAGCTGCCCGATCACTTTTACAAGGCTTGGAAGGGGGCCACCTCTGTCGCTGTCACCTGCCTCCATTCCTGGGCTCTCCCATGTCACTGAAGACTCGAGGACCTTTGCAAACTGTTGTTCATCTCCCTCCTATGTGATGAATGAAGCCGTAAGCGACAATATTTTCAGCACTTCTGGTTTCGGTTCTTTGTTTACTGGCCATTACCCACCAGTGAAACAGCTGATCAAAATGATCTCGGTTTGATCTCAGTTTTCACGGGACTGAGACTAAGCTCTGCAGTCAATTTTGCAGCAATTGTTTTCTTACTCCGGGTCACAATCCTGCACAATATCCTTTTTGTCTCTTTTGGTCCATGTTGACCGCACTTTTGCTTATCAAACTACATTTTTCCGGAAACTGTATATTCCATCATAACCTTTGATACTGTACCTCACGACTGGGCAAAGAAATTGACAACTTCAGTCACAGAGGCACCAGCTAAGTGGGCATCAACAATTTGCCCTCTTTAAAGCAGCGCATGCAGTGAATGACAAAAGTTAGGCTTCCCACCTGTTAGCTAGGTGTCTCATCACACAGTGCTTTCAATGTGAAACATGGCGTCACTTTCGCACCTGTAAATCATGTAGTGTTCCCATTTTTTGTCTAACCCCTGTATGTAAAGTTTGGGGGTTCTAAGTAATTTTCTAGCAAAAAATGCTGATTATGACATATATTTGAAAAAATGTCAAAACTGGCCCAGGTGCAAAATGGTTAAAGAACATTTAGTGCTGTAGAAAGGTGGTCAGCAATGTCAGCCCCTTATTTCTTGCATAATAGCTTTTCAATAATGACTAAAGTAAAAGAAGCTTACTATTACTTTTAGTATGTTGGGCCTTCTATATCAAGATGTGACTGTCTGTGTTGCCTTATAACAACCAGTCAGAGTCAGTCTTGCACTGGCAAATGACAACTGGAAAATGAAAGCCTTTTTTCTGTTACTTTTGGATTTGTGGGAAAGGATTTGAACTCCTTTCAGGTTTTGCTTCAGTTAGAGACTCCGTTGGGGAGATTCCTTCACTTCCTGTCTGGTAAAAAGCTTGTTACCATTACAAGAAGTGGGGTGAAATCTCTCTAACAGCAACACAGACAGAAGTCAGTTTTTTTAAAGTTGCGTAGTGGAATGCTAGACTCCCTTTCTAAATTATATTGTCTGTTTGCTTGTGGCAGATTTTTCCTGTTTTGTAAAAAATTGTCCCTAGAACAGGAAGTGAGGAGAGATCTCTTAAATGGAGCCCCAGATAGCAGTAAAACCTGACAGGGGTTCTAACTTTTCCCCATCTTCTCTAAATAGAAAAAGAAACATTTTAGGTATGAATACACTTTAAATGTTTTCATTTCAGCACTGTAACTGCAAGAATTCATTACTCTGACACTTTATAGATAAGACTTTTTGCGTTTTTATTTTCCATACATCACATTATTCTGTTACTAAGTTGTAATTTATGCTTACTAGCCCAAAGAATGGTTGTTTTTTCCTAAAACAGAAATCGAAGTGAAATCTTTCAGTAAAGACATCTGTTATGGTAACAGCTGTCTAGGAGAGGATGTCCTCTCAATTTGAAGAGACTTACCCTTACTTCTTGTTTTGTCTCTAGAACAGAAAGTGAGGAGAAATCTTTTCAACATGAAGACAAAGAAAAATAAAAACCTGATACCAGTTTTACCTATATCCTACTTTTTCCAAAACTAAAGAAAACCCCTTTGATTATAAAACGTTAAAGCCCAACTCAGCCTGGCCAAAAATAAAAAAGGAAAGAGTAAGTGAGTAAGGTTGCATTTGCACAGATGTTTAGCCTTGATGTACCGTATTTTTCGCTCCATAAGATGCACCTGACTGCGGACACAGTACAGTAGATGACCAGAGACTGCGGACATAGTACAGGAGATGACCAGAGACTGCGGACACAGTACAGGAGATGACCAGAGACTGCGCACAGTACAGGGAATGACCAGAGACTGCGGACACAGTACAGGAGATGACCAGAGACTGCGGACACAGTACAGGAGATGACCAGAGACTGCGGACACAGTGCAGGAGATGACCAGAGACTGCGGACACAGTACAGGAGATGACCAGAGACTGCGGACACAGTGCAGGAGATGACCAGAGACTGCGGACATAGTGCAGGGGATGACCAGAGACTGCGGACACAGTACAGGAGATGACCAGAGACTGCGCACACAGTACAGGAGATGACCAGAGACTGCGGACACAGTACAGGAGATGACCAGAGACTGCGGACACAGTACAGGAGATGACCAGAGACTGCGGACACAGCTCAGGAGATGACCAGAGACTGCGGACATAGTACAGGGAATGACCAGAGACTGCGGACACAGTACAGGAGATGACCAGAGACTGCGGACACAGTACAGGAGATGACCAGAGACTGCGGACACAGTGCAGGAGATGACCAGAGACTGCGGACATAGTGCAGGGGATGACCAGAGACTGCGGACACAGTGCAGGGGATGACCAGAGACTGCAGACAGTACAGGGGATGACCAGAGCCTGCAGACAGTGCAGGGAATGACCAGAGACTGCAGACAGTGCAGGGAATGACCAGAGACTGCAGACAGTACAGGGGATGACCAGAGACTGCAGACAGTGCAGGGATGACCAGAGACTGCAGACAGTGCAGGGGATGACCAGAGACTGCAGACAGTGCAGGGGAAGACCAGAGACTGCAGACAGTGCAGGGAATGACCAGAGACTGCAGACAGTGCAGGGAATGACCAGAGACTGCAGACAGTGCAGGGGATGACCAGAGACTGCGGACATAGTGCAGGGGATGACCAGAGACTGCGGACACAGTGCAGGGGATGACCAGAGACTGCAGACAGTACAGGGGATGACCAGAGACTGCAGACAGTGCAGGGAATGACCAGAGACTGCAGACAGTGCAGGGAATGACCAGAGACTGCAGACAGTACAGGGGATGACCAGAGACTGCAGACAGTGCAGGGAATGACCAGAGACTGCAGACAGTGCAGGGAATGACCAGAGACTGCAGACAGTGCAGGGGATGACCAGAGACTGCAGACAGTGCAGGGGATGACCAGAGACTGCAGACAGTGCAGGGAATGACCAGAGACTGCAGACAGTGCAGGGGATGACCAGAGACTGCTGACCTTTGGGGAGGGAGGGGGAGCGGGTACCTGAATTTGACAGGTACCCGCTCCCACTTCCGCGGAGTTGTCCTTCCTTCCTTCTTCCCGGGCCGGCTTCTGTGACAGCCGGGTGCCCAGTGCGCATGCGCGAGAAGCGCTGCGCTTTGTGAATGGCCCGGCGCCTTCTGGGACCTGTCATGTGTCCCAGAAGACACCGGATCATTCACAAAGCGCAGCACATGCGCAGTGGGCACCCGGCTGTCACAGAAGCCAGCGCGGGAAGACTGTGCAGCGCTGGAGCGAGGAACAGGTAAGGCCCTGCAGGAGAGAACAGCTGAGCGGGCCGGCCCGGTATTCTGACATGGTGGCGGCAGAAATACTGGACCGGCCGCTTTATATTCGCTCCATAAGACGCACTGACATTTTCCCCCCTTTTTTGGGGGGAAAAAAGTGCGTCTTATGGAGCGAAAAATACGGTAAATCCTCAATGAGTAAAGGGTGAATTTATTAAATTGAGATCTATACTCACAAAAGTAGCATAGGTAAAAGCAGATAAAATCCTACATCAGCATGCTAGAATAGCAGACAAGTGCGGGTCCAATCAAGAGGGGAGACTCTCAGAATGTTGCTGATGCGTTTCGAAGGGGGCTCCCTTCTTCCTTAAAGCTCTAAGGAAGAAGGGAACTCCCTTCAAAATGTGTCAGCCTCATTCTGGGAGTCTCCCCTCTCGATGGGATCCGCACCTGTCTGCTATTCTAGCATGCTGATGTTGGACTTTATCTGCTTTTTACCTATGCTACTTTTGTGAGTATAGATCTCAATTTAATAAATTCACCCTTTATTCACTGATGTAATTCACAAGGTTGGTGTGCTTTTGTTTTTGTTCTCCGTTACATGTACTATTTCCAGCTGCTAGGTTTGACAGCTGTGAGCAATAGTTGGGCCTGTACACTGCAATGACAGGCTGTTGGCGGCTGCAGCTATTTGTGGCTCTTTGAACAGCCAGCAATTACATGCGGTGATTTGTGTGTGTCCAGTCATGATCACCGCAGGTAATCGCTGGCTGTACGTACAGCAACGAATAGCTGCAGCCACTGACAGCCACCGACAGCCTGTTATTGCATTGTTCGGGCTTGGTGGATGCTATCGCTCACAGCTGTCAAACCCAGAGTTAGGAATCAGTAGATTCCTGCTGTTGGGATTCACATCATGGCTAAATGTCATACAAATGCAGCCTTAAACATAAAAAAGCAGCTCTGTGTTCTATACTTACCTCCTCTTCTCCTGCAGATTCACTGAATTAGCAATGCTAAGCACTGATTTAGCAGTGCTTCACTGTCAAGCATCATCCAACTTAGCTTCTGTTAGGCCAGGGTGTCAAGACTGCACCCAAACCCTGGACTCTCTGTAGAACGATGCAAAGAGCAGTCCTGTTAAGTCAGTATAATGGAGCAAGAGGAGAGTTTTGAGGGGAAGTGAGGTCACTGGACCAAAGAAACCCAGAAATGAATAAAGGCATGTATATTGATTTTTAATTTTTAAAGGTGCTAGGGGTTCTGCAATGGGTGGGGAGAATTTCCCAAGCCTGGAGTTGGCTGTTAAATGTTTCTCTTTCATTAATTCAGGACAGTATTGTAGAGAATGATCAGAACTGTCTGTCTCTATACCAATCCTGTTTTAATTTATAATGCAGTCCAGTTAACTGATTATACTTGTATATTAATATATTATTTCTTCTTTATAAGATGGAGCTATTCCCAGGCAAATCAAGTAATGACAATCAGTGAGCTTGATTTGAAGCCCAGCTGAAGCTAAAGGTAAGGTATTGCACTGTTAGGGGAATTTGATCTGTAGATTTAACGTTCCTTGTCATGCTATGCCACGCTTTTTTGGTTGTGCTTTGCTTCTCCTTCTCACAATGCTAGTTTATGAGCCAGCCAAAAATAATCCAATCTAGCTGATAACGTATTTCAAACGTTGTTAAGTGGTAAAGCAGATTAAATGTACTCTTCTCCTAGTGCATAATCTACAAATCTTTACATTTACAGTAACAAAAATATGGAAGGTCAAGCATATAATGTGAAAAATCACAATAAATCACACTACTTTAATCAATGCAGTAATAATTTAATCTACGTTTTCACTTAAATTGCATTGTACTTTTCCTTCAAAGCTGAACCCCAGGAAGATATAAAACATACAAAGGAATGCAGCTCTGTGGTCATTTAAGTGTAACTAAAACTTGTTGTTATCTGTGTCACCGTTAGAGAAGTTCACCCTCTTTGTCCCGTTTACTGTTTTATCGTTAAAAATGAAAGTAAATGAAGATCCCAAATTTTTGGATTGACCTAAGAACAGTAATAGAAGGGAAATCCTCCAGTAAGGACATGCTCCCTTACTCTATCCAAGTGAAAAAAAAAAACGTTTTGTCTTTAGTTACACATAAAAGTATATGTAAACCCTCACCTTGCAAAACTACCCATTTAGTTTAAAATGGAAATGAAAGGCAAACATTCTTTTCCATTCCTTGAACTGGATGAACTTTTGTCTTTTTTTGGAGGATTTTTTGTGTTCTTATTCCATGACCTCCATAACCTCATGAGTATATAATATATATACACTGGTACCTGTACTTGGAGGATAAGTGGAAGGTGGAGGAGTAAGCATTGGAGTCTGTGGAGTAACCTCTAGCCTGGAGAGAGCGTGTAGGATCCTGAGGTGATCCGTAAGGCATTTTGGCCCCTGTGGGTCGCAGGGGGAGGGTGAGCGGGCATGCTAGCCATATAGGATTCTCACCTGTAACCCGCACTGGCAAGAGGAGCATGTTTTTTAATTGTGTCAAACACTGAATTTTTGTGGACATTAATATCACTACAGCTTTATGGTTTTAAACACTGAATGTTGTAGACATTTTTTTGCACTTATATGTATAGTTATCACCTAAATAGTGTCTTATATCCCTTCACAGGGAATCACTGAGTGGTATGGTTTAATCACTTATTATCTATGCTTGATTTATATTGCACCAGTTATCTACAGTTGCAAGAAAAAGTATGTGAACCCCTTGGGATTACGTGGAGTTTTGCATGAGTTGGGCATAAAATGTGCTCTGAACGTCATCTAAGTCACAACAATAGAAGAACACAGTCTGCTGAACATAATACTACACAAACATTAGATGTTGCCATGGTTTAATTGCACATAACATGTAAACATTCACAGTGCAGGGAGGAAAAAGTATGTGAACCTTTGGACTTAATAACTGGTTGACCCTCCTTTGGCAGCAATAACCTCAACCAAACGTTTCCTGTACTTGCAGATCAAACCTGCACAACGATCTGGAGTAATTTTGGACCACTCCTCTTCACAAAACTGTTTCAGTGTAGCAATATTCTTGGGATGTCTGGTGTGAATCGCTCTCTTAAGGTCATGCCACAGCATTTTAATCGGGTTGAGGTCAGGACTCTGACTGGGCCACTCCAGAAGGCGTATCCTGTGCTGTTGCAGCCATTGTTTTGTTGAATTACTTGTATGCTTTGGGTCATTGTCCTGTTGCATCACCCATCCTCTATGGAGCTTCAGTTGGCGGACAGATGGTCGTACGTTTTCCTGCAAAATGTCTTGATAAACTCTGGAATTCGTTTTCCCATCAATGACAACAATCTGTCCAGGCCCTGAGGCAGCAAAGCAGCCCCAAACCATGATGCTCCCTCCGCCATGTTTTATAGTGGGGATGAGGTTTTGATGAGCACATTTCATGGCAAATTCATGCAGAACTCCACGTAATCCCAAGGGGTTCACATACTTTTTCTTGCAACTGTATATATGTCATTTACTTGATTTACAGTAACGCATTTTCTACTCTGGATAAGTCTGTTTATAATTTTATAGCGCCACACCATTATCATAATAAGTTTACCTATCTGTCCATTTTAAGGAGAGGATTGGGTATTGGCAGCAACTATTTGTTATAGTGGATAAAGCAGCGCAGGAGGATTTAATATTCGTTCAAATGGATTGTTCCTTCAGCTCTGCAAGAGTTAACTCTTATCTGGCAATAAATTGTACCATCAGATTTCCCCTGAAAACATGAGCTAAGAGATGGAGAGCGTGGTGTGATATTGCACCTTAATTTGGTGTAAGGGAGGAAGGACATCTGTCACAGTCTCCTTGTGTCGCACGTGTAGCGTTATCGCACTGATAGGTAACACTTTAAGTGTCTAATTGCTGAGAATACATTCTTTTTGATTTATTCATATAAGGCGAGAAGGCATTTTGTTAACTGTTCAGGCACATTTGACTGTATTGTTCTTACTAT